AATATGTATCTCTGTATCTCTAATGTGTGGAGGGTGGTACCCCACGGCACTTAGGCCTCATTAGGCCCATTGTGCATCCTCCTTAGAAGATAGGCACCTCTTAGCTCGTCAGCCAGCCTACAGATTTAATGTAGTTGACAACGTCGCCGAGGTGCTTCTCTTATATCGGTCGGTGTTAGCCGATACTCGCCGAACACAAATCTTCTAATAAATGAGAGCGTCGAGCAATCGTAAAAAATATGCTCAATGGTTTCATCTTCTTATTCGCACCCTCTGCACAGTGCGGATTCTGACAACCCCATGATATGGATGCTTTCGTACTTGGCAATGACCAGTCAGAATACCTGTGACTAGGCGCAGATTCTGTCTAGTCATAGTCATAGTCAAGTATTTGTTTTCTGCAGTGTTATCAGGATAATTTATGAGTTCCCTGGCAACTCTGTAGTTTCTTGTTTCATCCCATATTTCCTTGGATTTCACAAGGGAATGTTGTTTGATTAGGTCTGTCACTACTGATTTTGTCTAGTGAATCAGCAAGACGGTTACCTTTCGATGTGGCGTGACCTTTAATCCATCTTAAGGTGACCACGTTGTTGATGGATACTTCGGCCAAAGCTTCGTGACATTCTAGTACTAACCTTGAATAAATTCATGGTCTGTTCAGGGTGAGTAGTGCTTGTCTGCTATCTGTATAGATGAGCATGTTCCTTCCAGTGATATTGTTTCTGGTTATTTCTTTTGCTGCTATAAGAATTCCCGTTAGCTCTGTTTGAACTACACTGGCACTATTGCTCACAGCCCATTTTATGTTTAGGTTTAAGAATCTGGAGTATATTCCACATCCTGAGCCTTGTTTTGTTTTAGAACCGTCAGTGTAAATATGAATCGGACCTGCCACTTCTGGCTCTTCTATTTGTTCTATTATAACTTTATTTGGCTTATGAAAGATATATTTAGGTGAGATGAAGTTCATGTTCGCTTGCAGCAGTGGGAGCGTATCCAGCGCTTCCTGAAAGAGTGACGACTCGCCTCACCAGATCCTACATCAGGTTCTAGCAACTTCCTTGATGGAAATATCAAGGGGAATGAGACTAAGAATGACTTCCATGGCTCTAGTTGGTGTTGTTTTCATGGCTCCTGTTATGTTGAAACATGGTGTTCTTGAATTTCTAGTTTACGGATAGCTGTTAATTTTTGGGTTTTCGGTACCCAGACAACTGCACCGTATGTTACACGGAAAAAAAATTGTAGAACAAATTTCTACAATTGTAGATTTTTCTCTACAATAAATAGTACATATAGGGACAGGGACAAAGTATAGCAAAAATTTCCAAATATTTGTGGAGAATGTATTGTAGAGTTATTATCTACAATATTTAGTAAAAAGATCCAAATGCATCATAAGAATTGTTCTACAAATTGTTATAATTTTTGCTATTCATTGTATGAATTTATATTAAAAATGTATTGCGTTTTATGAAAATAAATACGAAAATTTTACACAATAAATAGTAAAAATTCATACAAATTGTAGTAATTTTTAATAAAATTTGTAGTAGTATTCCATAATTATTATAATTATAACCTAGAAAAAAATGTTCCTTAATAAAATATTCAATTTATTGTTTTAATATAAAAGATACAAATTCTTAATTACATTATGTAATAAATAACAGTAATAATAGCGCCCTCAGTCTCAGTTGGCTTTTCTGCACCTGAAAAATATGAAATAAAAATTAATACCAATTGAATTGTTCATACCCTTAAAACGGGGATATTTATCACCTTTACACTGATTGACTAAGTCAGATAACTAACAAAAATGAGAAAGTAGGTATGTCACAATTAAGACAAAAATACATCATTGAACTTGGCACAAAATTCGATCGTTGGGCACAACATTCGATCGTAATCCACAACTATTTTTTTTTAAATAATCTACTAAGGTTATTTAAATTAGTTATCTAAAGGTAAATTATTCAGAAACAATAATAAATGTACTTACCACCAATATAATTTATTATTAAAATTTTCTCAAACGCATCGGTGCTTATAATATAATAATGTGTTATTGTAACAACCAATTAATCCTAAAGGACCAACGCTCGTCACCAAATGTAACAACCAGTTTGCCTAAAGACCATTTGCAACTACTGATAGGTCTTTAGCTACTGTTACTATACTATACTATACTGTTATATACTGTTATATACTGTTATATACTGTTATATACTGTTACTATACTATTAATGATTCCGAATTACCGATTATCATTTTTCAAAAGATCTTTCACATATAACGCCATTTCAATATATAACAGTCTACCTAGGGAAATTAGGACATGTTCTTTGACATTTTTGAAACAAAATTATAAAACGTTGCTATTAGTTGAGCAATGAATACAGTGCTAACGTTAATATATTATTAATTTCAAACATTTTTCCTTATTTAATTGTATTTTAAGTTCCATTGATTTCAGTTTAGATTAAATACAGGGTTAACATTTTTAATCATAAATTAATTGTATATTGAATTTCTTATTTTTTTTATATTGTAAATGATGGATACCTTTTGATTATTTTAAGTTTATATTTATGTTGAGGTTAAGTTGAGTAGCGCAAGCTAGACTTCGCCTCATGATGTTTATGTGCATTGTATATTACAAGCAAATAAAGGCAATTTATTATTATTATTATTATTATTATTATTATTATTATTATTAAGGGATAAAGGCAGCGCTTGTCACCAGCCCTAGGGTCCTGGAGTCCTGAAGGAACATCCATTCGCCAGTGGCAAAGTAAAATAATAAAAGAAAATAAAAATACAAAAAAAAAAACATCCCTTAATAGCATATGTCGAGCGGTTTTGGCAACTGACTCTCAAGTCCTTAAGGGTAGGAACGCCGAGGCTTAACATGCTCGGAATATGTCTTACTGGTTTTTGGAAAGAGGTGAGAATAAAATAGGTTAATGAACAATAACGTGTATATTTAAATATAAGTAAAAAATGATTAACAATTTCAATAAATCAAATCAATCTCTATTTTTGAAATAAGACATAGCAAAAATTACTACCCACAATTGTAAATCTTTATTATGATAAACCATGCTAATATAATATAATCTATGATGAAACTTTGATATAATGAAATCTTTTACATCACAAAAACATTTTAATATAAAAAAACTCTTTATATGATAAAACCCTTAAAACTGATAAACATTTAATAAGTAAACTTGGGACGAAAATGAAAGAATTGGCATTTGAAGAAAGACTAATGAACTGTTTTAAAATACATAACCCAAACAAGAAATTTAAACATGTTAAAATAAAATAGATATTACCTTTGAAAACAAAACACTACAACACACTTTACTATATATAATAGATATTAATACATTTTTGGGCATAGGTTTGGCCCAACGGCCGCCCCTTGAGTCTTTTTGTGTCAACGATTGACTCTCTATTTATATCAACCTTAACGTGATTATTTTAAAAAGAAACTCTACTTATTTATTTTTAATGATTATTCGCACGATTTGTCCTTTAATTTTCTAGTACAATGAACTATTTCTAATTGTTTGGTTTTAATAAATATGTTGTGTTAATTTAATAGATATTAAAAATATTAGATATTTTTGGGATTTTTGTTAAATTCTTTATATTTTAAAAATAATAATGCCAATTATTACATTATAGGTACTCGTATATGTACCATGCTTTGTTATGTGAACATGGCGAACGGCTACTGCTGTCTGGCCGTTAATGATCGACGTCAGAAAACGTTGGCCAGAATTTCTACAATATTATAGAATATTTTTGAAGAAGGAATGTAAAGTATTACTATTTTTTGTAGAGAAAATTACTATTTTTTGTAGAGATAATTATTAATATTTGTACAATTTTTTACAGAAGTTAATAGTAATAATTACAATAATTGTAATAAATTTCTACTTCTACAAACAATAGTAAAATATACTAAACATTGTGGCCTTCTTTCCTATTGTTGTAGCATTTTATTCGACAATTCAATTGCTACAATAATTAATAGTTTTTAACTATAAATTGTAGTAAAATTTTCTACAAATTGTTAAGTATTTTTCTACAAGTCTACTACTACAACATTGTAGTAAAATTTTCTAGTCACATTTTTTTCCGTGTAGCATAGGTCTTATGATAGCCGTGTAAATCCATGCGACGACTCTAGGGGAGAAACCCCAGGTGCGCCTTACGGTTCGGCGGCATTGTTCATAAGCAATGTATGCTCTTTTAACTCTGTTCTGGAGGTTTTAGTTCCATTTTCAACTTTTTCCTTGTGAAAAGGACCATTTCTGTCTTCTTAGGATTGAGAGACAGTGAATGGTCCTTGCACCACTGTTCTATAATTTTTAGAGCTACTTGCATTCTTTCGCAAAATTCTCTGTTTGCAGAATGACCAGGTCATCTGCATATGCTATTGTGTAGTAACTGTCATTATTGAGGCGGCTGATGAGGGTCCACAGTAGAGGTGATAGCACCCCTCCTTGTGGACATCCCCTCGCAACCAAGTCTCTTATATTCACATCTTCTACACTTATGTTTACTGCTTGCTTTGAGAGCATGTTATGTATCCACCCACTAACCATTTGTGGAACATTCCTGTTGATTAGTGAGTGTATCATCTTTGGGAGGGTGGTTTTATCACCCTCGTTCATATTGCGGGACCTCGCTCTGTTCGTCCCGCAATTATTCACTCGTTACATAAAATAAGGCATTTCGTAACTGGTTTCATAATTATCTATTTTTAATTTATGTCACTAAAATGAACTAATAATCTTGAGATAATTTATTATTTATTATTCACAATTAGTGTTGTCTAGCTATATTAGTTAAATGAAATAAAAATTATATGGCTCATCTCCTTAAATATTTTATCAAGAACAATAAATAATCATAATCAGCACTTCACACAATTATCTACAATTGCGAAATTTGGACATTTCTTTATCAAACAATAAATCTAAGATAATATTTTCAGAAACAAAATCACTTGATCTTTGTAATAATAGGAGAAACTTGTTTCTCAATATTACATTGATTTTGTATGGATTTATTTTAAAATAAAATAAGTTTTGTGTTCGAGTTTAAGCTGAAGGCTTAATGCCATTCATAGTTATAAGTAATAAGTGATGATGTGTTTAGAGAACCTAATATTTTTGTATCTTATCTGACAAGACAATAAGGTGAGTTACTTATTACTAAAGAAACATTTTAAATAGTGGAATAAATTTTTTTATAATTTTACCGCAATGAGTAAAATCGTCTTTTATACGAATTATTCACAAGGTTTTTGTTCCTAGTATTGGTTTTCCACGACAAAGTCTTCACAAAATTACAGAGTGGGTCACCGGTAATGCCAAGGTCTGTAGAGGCAAAACTAATTTCTTTTTTAGCTGTTTTCACAGCGAAATCTATATTAGAAAAGGCAACAATTTAAAATAATTTATATACAGAGATATCTAGCAAAACTATACTTATTAAAGTTAAGTTTTTTAAATGGAAAGTAAAATCCGATTACAATAAAAACACTGCTACCTCATAAACCATTACTTCAAATTTATAAGACATAGTATTTATAACTACCAATAAATAAAGAATAAGTTGTTGAGTATAAAAAAATATTTTCTATATTCCTATAATATTAATACGCCACTAAATTAATTACTTTGCCAAGCTATGTTCTTCTGATTGTAATTGGACCCTAATTTATTTTATATCTGAATTACCCTTGGTTTTCCCATTTTAACAATACCAAATATGTTCGCTATACTTACGCGGATTTCGGATTAACAAAATTATGCAAATTAGTCATTAACAACCAGTTCCCTAATGTTATTTTAATTTAAATTTTGTTGATCCAAAATCCGCTTAAGTATAGCGAACAGACTGTAGTTAAGGATAACAGGCTATTTTACTGAATATAACCAGTTTTATCTTATCGTATCTTCAATAAAAAAGTACCTCTGATTGTGATGCACAACAACATAACCTTTGACATTAAACAACTGGCATTTAGAAAGTAAGTTTAAGATCCAACTTGTTCGCGCAAATCAGGGCTGGTATATCTAAGGGGGTCGCGACATAAAAGTCCATTTTGGACGCCATTTTTTTTGGAAATAGTAGTCGCCCATTTATCTGGCAACCTGTAGCCGCCAGGCTTACCAATATAAAAAAAATCAATGTATTTTTTTTAAATGACATTTTCATTATAAAATGCCCATATTTTTTAAGATAAAATATTTTAAATTAATAAATTATTAATAATCTCACATGTACAGGGTGATTCTTTTATCATGGGAAATGAGTTTTTCTCGTAAACGGCTGCAGCAAATTGAGTTTTGTGAAAAGTATTTTATTTGGGCCGGCTAATGCTTAAAATTGGGATGGATAAGGAAGTTATAAATAAGCGACGCTGGGCGTCGCGACGCTTCAATTTTTTTTTGTCAGAAGCATACCATTTTTATTTCAGAAATTGAAAGATCTATTCAATAGAAACACTTTTTTCAAATACCATTTTTTTCCATCTAAAACCATTCAAGCATTACAGACCAGTTTTTATGTTTTAAATTTGTCGATTGCCATACAAAAAATGCTGGGTTTTTAAATTTCACTAAATCAGGCAGGCTAACTTTTATGCTGATATTGACAACAAATATAATTTAGGATTTAAAGAAAACAATTTACAAGATGTTCCTACATTTAATAACACTTATGTAATTGTTTAGGAAATAATCAAAGTTTACACTAACAACCCATAAAACATACATAAAACATTAAAGAATAACATGAACTGTATTTAGTAAAAATTAATTGCTAATTCACAAATCTTATTTTAACAATTGCTCGATATATGCGCCATCGTTATCCACACATAAATTGTACCGCTTTCTTATTTCGAAAGATGTAACTTTTCTTAAAACATCACCAGATATTCCATTGCACGCATCAATAATTTTTTGTTTTAAAATATCTAAATTATTAGATTTTGTTTTATACACTATATTTTTTAAAATTCCCCATAAAAAGAAATCTAAGGGTGTCAAGTCCGGAGATCTAGGCGGAAATTTCAAGGGCCCGTGTGTCCCCAACCATCTTCCGTGGTAGACTTCATTCAAATAATTTTGAACAATGACCGCATTGTGGCAAGGAGCTCCATCTAGTTGAAACCATCAGTTTCTTCTGATTTGCAGTGGCACATGTTCCAGCAAAAGAGGAAGGTGATTTTGGAGAAAATCTAAGTATCTTGGGCCCGTCAAGGCGCCTTCATAAAAGTATGGCCCTACTAAGTGCCGCCCGACTATTCCGCACCAGACGTTTATGCCAAAGTGGCCCTGTATTTGATGTTGTCTGATTTTGCGCGGGTTTTCGTCTGACCAATAATGGGTATTTTTTTTGTTTGGTAATCCATGACTAACAAAATGACTTTCGTCTGTCCATAGTATATGAGAAAATAAATTAGGATTGTCATCCAAAGACACCAAAAACTGACAAATAAAATCCTTCCTCCTCTCAAAATCTCTAAGCGAAAGTTCTTGCAAATTATGAAATTTATAGTCATGGTATTTGTTGCTTTTTAAAACTCTTTGTATCACACTATAATTTAAATTTAAGTCTCTTGAAGCCTCTCTTATAGAAGCTTCATGGTGATTGTTAAAATAATTTAAAATAATTGCCACATTTTCATCCGTCGTGACAGTTTTTGTTCTTGATCTTTTACCTGCAAATTTGGCTCATTGAATTTATGGGGATTTATTAAAAAACACAAAACCTACCTTCAAATGCTTTAGGGTTTTGACGTAAACTAGTTTATAACCTGGCAAACATTTTGTGGTCTGGAAGGTTGCGTTCGGGGTATTTTTCCGCATATAATCTTCTTGCAGCTAAACCATTTTTTTGGGCTTCTCCGTATAAAAGAAGCATGTCAACTTTATCTGAATGTGTAAACATATTTCTTATTACTCACTATTTTAATAGGAATAATTGAAATTACACTGACAGTTTCAGACATCAATCAATATAAGCCAATTATGTTTTTTCAAAGCCTACCTGATTTAGTGAAATTTAAAATACCATGCATTCTTTGTATGGCAATCTAGAAATTTGGAACATAAAAACTGGTCTGTAATTTTTGAATGGTTTTAGATGGAAAAAAATAGTATTTAAAAAAAGTGTTTTTATTGAATAGATCTTTCAATTTCTGAAATAAAAATGGTATGCTTCTGACAAAAAAAAATTTAAAGCGTCGCGACGCCCAGCGTCGTTTATTTATAACTTCCTTATCCATCCCAGTTTCAAGCAATAACCAGCCCAAATAAAATACTTTTTACAGAACCCAATTTTCTGCAGCCATTTACGAGAAAAACTCATTTCCCATGATAAAAGAATCACCCTGTACATAGAATACGTCATGAAAAGTAGATCACTTTCAATTTTGTGCTGTTTTGGTTTGGTTTATTTTAAAAGGTAATTGAAGAGATGAAGACAATTTTCTTATAGATGAGGATGCATAACAAAGTATGGCTCCCTTTTTTAGAGCTTCAGTCCCCTAAGTCTATTTATTTTAGGTCCTTTTAAATTGGTGGTAGGTATTATTAACTTCATTTGTATGTTTTCATTTAATTTAAATAATTTTGTGTAATAACCTGGCATTTTGTTTTCTATACATTTTAGCATGTATTTATTGGCTACATCTAACAAAGGATGGCTTTGAAATACCTTTGCAACAGAGGGTCTTCCCTAAAACTGGCCGAAATTTGAAACTGAATACAGTTCTTAGAGAAAATCTCCAGTAAAAAATGTCTGCATGCAGAATAACAGTAGCAGAGATTAACAAAGCTGACAAAAGAGTTGGACAAACTTTTGTCTACCTTTTTTAATATTTCAGGACAATAGTGTTAACAGCAGACCACAACAAGAACAACCAAAGTTTAGTAATCAAGCAAAATATTTTAGTATCTCCAGAATTATAAACGTATGAAAACTATAATAGGAAACATGTATGGCTTCGAATAGGAAATTGCCTAAATTAGCATATCTAGTGAATATTGTATTTAAAGAATATATTTTTAATCAAAACTTTTGTGCTTATACTCCAATACTAACCCTATAGAAATGCATATGCATTTTATAGTATTAAGCAAGATTCGGGTCAAATGTACCCACAATTTATAAAACATTATTAAACTAAAATAAAACATTTCAAATAACACCTGTTTTTTATTTAAATAAAACATGTTAAATATATGTTTTTATTGAATACATAAATTTTTCTCAACCACATTTTTTTTTGTTTTTACTTTTAGTGTAGAAGAGACTACTAGTTCACAGTCTTTCAAGTTTATTATTTAAAAAGAGACTAGCTACTACAAAATATTCTATTGATGATAACTAATTTCTCTTTAATAATGGTTTTGCATTTATCAACATTTTACAGCACTTTGTTTATATGAAACATCTATTTAGCTCTTAATTAAATCACACTGAAATCAAGTAATTACATTTTCATATTCAACTTGTATGTATTCTTATTAGAACTTAGTCAATTTTTTTTAATTTGAATTTTTTGTCTGTGGTAACAGTCCATTCACCAAACCACAAACTTAGTCACTTAAAAATGTTGAAAGAGAATGTCATAAAGGTAAAATTCCTTCTTCTATGATGTTTTCCATGCAATTTTAGGTTGCAAACGTTTTGTCCAACACCTTTTTTACAATTTATCCCAAGCAACACTATGAAAGATTTAAATCCTGGATTTATAGCATTCAGTTTTGAGATGAGTACAGTCTCAATGCAGTTTCACATGAACACTTATTTACCACAGCACAAACGCATGTACCTATTCATGTAACATTAAAATAAAGTGGAAACAAATTCAGGACAAATGCAGGACAAACGTTACCTTGGATTTCGCCAAACGAACTTCAGAAAAGTGTTGCCAACTTAAGCTGACTACTATTTCTCCCCTAGCCTCAGTCACCCCCTCATCTATTTACTGAGTCTATGTCGCGACCCCCTTAGATATACCAGCCCTGATTTTGGATCTCTTTTTCTTTGATTCTTTCAAACAGTGCTATACTGTTTACTTCTTTCAAAATTTGTGGTCAGTAATTCTCAGATTTTCAAAACATCCATTTATTGTCAATTTCTATACATCGACTAATCTTCAATGTGATTCTTATTGTTGTTGTTTGTTTCTTTGTATCAAGAAACTATTTGGAAATTATTATTATTAAGAAATTTTGAGGATCGTTACAAATTCTGATCCTCTCATCAATTTGGATAATCCAAACTGATTCAAAATTTTTGTCATCAATCAAAATCACCAATTTCTATAACAACCAATTAACGTTTGTTTTTCTTTTTTTTTACAAATATACAACTTTTACACATTTCACATAGTGAGTGATATTCTTCCTGATTCTCAAAACACACCCAACAGGAATCCACCATCAGTATGTCTGCTTGATAATCGCATCTTTAATAAACCTAGTTGCCAAATGTGACAAAATATCAAAATGGGACAATGTCTTCCAATTTTTTTTTTTTTTTATTTGGAGATTTGTGTTTTTTAGCGCTATAGTGCTAAAACTTTAGTACTAGTATTAAATACCCCGCAAAAAAAATCACAGCTTTTAAAGCATATTTTCGTCTAAATAATTGAAAAAATTGCAAATTTTTAATTTTCAAAAAGTCTCTAATCGTATTTCGAAAAAATTAAATCAACTTAAACTATTTATGAAATAAACATTATTTATTTACTTAATATTTTATTACATCAGAATTTTTTTTTACAGTTTAAAAATGGTATTTTGTCTATGTGGACGCCGCTGCTTCAGCAGAACTTTAGTAATAAACCCGGTAATTAAAGGACAAACATTCGAAAAACCCAAAAAACATAATGATATAATATCTACAATTCAATCTACACAAAAAAATGAAAAAAATCTAGATAAAATCAAATCTACTCTTACTAATGTAAGAATACCTAATGAAATAGTTCCCGAAAACAAAACACATGATATAATGGAACCTACACAAAAAAATGAAAAAAATTTAAATGAAATCAAATCTACTCTTACTAATGTGAAAAAAACCACTGAAATAGTTCCAGAAAACAAAACAAATGATGTACTGGAACCTATTATAGAAACTAAAGCGCATCAACACCTCCAAATAAACCCCACTTCGAAAGAAATCAGTGTCATTAATACTATTACTACTTCGTTGGTTTCATCTGAGAAAACTGAAGAAATAATAGGGCAACGTGAAGAAGAATTGAAATTTAGACCTAAGACGAAAAAACAACAGGCGCCGCCTGCCCCAATTTCAAAAAATCCTGAAGTTAAATATAATGACAATATGAATAGTATAGAGGTTAAATTAGATAATAATGTTTTGGATAATAAAAGTGAAATAATTAAAGAAGAAGATAAAAAAAAAGTAAGTATTTTTTTAAGTACTTCTAGTAGGTAGGTAGCGGCATTGTATAAAGAACTATATTAGTAGGATAATCGCACTGTAAAGTTATTGGAGGCAATCGCGCCTGATACCTATTGATACAATAATTCAATTAACGATTATATTTGCTAGTCAGCTGTTATAAAAGACAATTCTGTTAAACTACTTGTCAGTGTATATTTTTAGATATTGAGATTAATTAATGGATCAAACGACTTACCTGAGGGAAGTTCGATCCTAATTATGCGAGCATCTTTGTTAGTGGAAATAAAGATAATCATGTAGTATACCTATGTTACGCCACTGACCCAAATGTTCAAATGTTGAAATTACTGTTTGCTTTTAGTTGGTGCCTTTAAATTAAATGTATGCTAGTTTTTTCAAATGCTTTGTCTGACTTCCATATCTCTACAAGATTCTTTCCAAAATGAAAAACCATCGATATCTTCCTTTTCTATCATATTTTTCACATTTGTGTTTAAAGACGGATATATAAGGTGCCTACGATGCATATATTCTATGGTGGATATCTGATAATACTTTTGTTACATTTGCATTTGTTTTGATGCGTCTATTTCTGTTCCCTCCAAGCCTAGCTTACAGAGGTTCAGCTAAACTTCGCATCACCTTTCAAGTTGGTCTTGCAGCATATATAAATAGCTGTTGATTTTGTTCGATGACGTGACTAGTCACCTTTTTGGTTCAGAGTTTAAGGTGGGGGACCCAAGTGAAAGTATTTCAGATTTTGATTTCGCAAAGAAACTTTGATATTTTGCCATTCTCCAAACCGTCTTGCAAATATTTTCCCAACTTTTTACCATTTCTTCGTTGATTGCTTTTCCGAGAGAGATGTTGCTATTAGGATCCGCTTCCAGAATATCCTGATACTGAATTTGATCTTTACTATTCGAACGTCTGTTCTGGTGAAGACGACGAGTTTAATGTATATACCTCTTAGATTCTGATTCTAAATCAACTTAAATTTATATTTAATCATTGGCTTATTCATGTGCACATGAAGTTTGTCTATAATGCAGAATTTACATAGTACCTACATTCTGCTTCCAAAGTTTTTTGAAGTTTACACTTTAAGTAGCATTTTTCGCATTGTGGTTAGCCGGACTAGCATCTTATAAGTATAAG